TCCGATAGGGCTTCACGAAAGTGTACAGCTGGATACCATCAAATGTGTGTGCCAGAAAATTAATGGCGGCTTCTGCCTTCGAATTTCGGAACTATGAGAAGCTGCCATTTGGTCAAAGAACGAAGACTTTGATGCATTTGAGATCACCGGAACTCCGTTATGTGTCAGCTCTGGTTAATCTTGTTGACGGCCAGTGTTGCTAAAAAGGATAATCTTTAAAAAGAAGGCCGCATATGCCGAAGAATGTTTTCGAATGCGCCCGAAATACACTGGATTTTGCTAAACCAAAGTTTTCCCAGAACCCTGACCAGAACTAAAAGCAAACCTTCTCTCTGTTCCACTTTCCCGTCATTCTTATATCTGGAATTCACTTACGTCCTGAAACATATTCTCGCCCATTCAAGACCGTCAGTAAGCCCTTAACTCCGGAATTTAAATTGTCAGAGTTAGTGCTGTAGTGAAACCTAGCTAAATCAAAATAAATTTTCTGCTTAAATTGCACGTTCGCATCTGTAATTTTTCAAACTTCGTAATTGTCTGTATCTCGTTTTCCGACTAACACGTATTTCACCTACAGTCGGTGGCTCATCCGGGGTTGCTCTTGTGTCGTTCAACCGTACACTCAACTCGCCATGCGGGTCCTTCCATAACCTGCTTCCTTTTCCACCATTCAACCATTTTTAGTCGGTTTTTTGGACAACATATGTCTGCTGTGTCGCACACTGGTGGAAAAGTTGAATCTGACTCTACAACGCCTGCCTAATTTGAAGGCGACTTCATTTCTGCCACCTCCACCCTCACAGTCTTCGATCTCCAACAGTGTTCCCTTACTCGCCTTGGAGGGTGGGATGACTGGCGTCCGCGAAGAGGATCGGCTCTGCAGAGGCCGCCAGCAGGCTTGGAAGGTCCTCACTGAGGAACTTGTTATTCAGTTGGAACTACTGGGTAATCTTATCTACGGAAGCCCCGTCGCCAAACAGGCTGCCGTCAGGGCAAACCTCCCCGCTGTAAGTCCGTGTCTATTTTACTGTCACTCGTTTTGATTAGGATAGTGTGGCGCTCACCGGTCTGGTAAGGGAACATGCTCGTCCCATTTCGGCTTGAATTTCAATCTAGACTCCTCAAAGGCGGCTATATAGCGGCTAGTAGTACAGGCAGATAAGGTGGTACCAACAAGGATAAGAAAGAATTAAATGGTCATTTCAGCCCCTAATACCAAATCCCATGCGTGGATCACCTGAGATGCGAACCCGGTATCTTTTGTTACACTCAATGATCAAATATCCCTTGTTCTTCTCAGTCACATCTGTGTTAAATCCTGGTAGTTTATTGACGGAAATTTCGTTTCATAGTCAGTTGGCAGGAACAAGGAAACTGGACATAAATTATGGTCATTTTTCAAAAAGTCAGAATTCTGCGATATGAATTATAGTCTATGTTTTGCCCACCGGAATAAATTTGTTGGTTTGCTGATGTTTCGGACGGCTAGGCCGGCTGTCCTTTGCCGAAACATATACTGACTGTGGCGATGAGCAATTTTAAGGTTGCGGCTGTACGTGTGGGTCGTGTGCTGATCGATTTTTCTCCGTTCACTGCTTGGCTTTCCTTGTGGATTTTGGCATAGCTTGAGGGCAATTGGTGTTCTTTTCCGTTCCCACGTTAGAGGATGCTGGTAATCCTGCTCCCCTTCTGGTGGTTTCTCCATGGCCGTCATCGTTTGCAAACCCCGACTTTGGTTTGACCGCGTCCTGTCCTTAACTTACATAATGGCGTAGGACTTTGTAAATCGCGGGCAGGTCCGGATGCCTGTTGACAGAATTGGCGTCTCCGTACCATGCCTCAAGCGTCAGTCTTTCCGCTTTTGAGGCTCCTCGGCCTACAAAGACCTACGCCATTACGCAAGTAAAGGGCAGGACATGGACAAACCGAAGTCAGGATTTGTAGACGAAGACGGCCCTGTGACGAAACCACTGGAAGGGGGAGAAGGATTACCAGCATCCTCTACCATGGGGACAAAACAGAACACCAACTGCCTTCAACCTATGCCAAAATCCACACGGAGGGCCAAGAAACGAGTGGAGAAACAAAACGATCAGCTCAAGGCCAACACGTACACCCGCAACTTTACATTTGCTGATCGATAAAGTCACTATACGCTTCGACAAAGGACAGCAGGCCCAGCTGTCCAAAAAGTCAGCAAACCAACAAATTTACTTTGGTGAGCAAAACATGAACTGTAGTATGTGCATTTTATCTGCCATTATCCTTCAAACTCATGCGTTTGACCGGAACGCTACCTTACTATCAGCATTGTGAAATTTTTTGTTATCATCCGCCTTTAACTCCCTTCTAGTAAGTACGACTGGCGTCGAAATGGATCTAGTTGCCTCTAGTAGTTACCGCTGCTGGTGGTGGGCTTGGCGACCTCCAACACAAAATTCATTTAACGACGAGTAGTAGATGTTGGCATTCAAATTTCACAGAAGCACATGCATTCCCTGCCAACAACACTGACGCAAAACGATATCGTACAGAAGGAGCAACAGCAGGTTTACGTTGTCCTTCCTCTGGTGTGCCAGTCGCTTTGGCCTGCACATCCCTCAGTTATTTGCGCTAACCGCAGCCAGTGATAGTTGTGCGTTTCACACCTAACCATCCAACCCTTGAATCAATTGCTTTAGTCTGATGGCTGACTTCGTTCAGCGGTTTTAA